TTACCTTAGAACTTGTGGAGGCAAGCTTTGCTTTCAGCAAACTACATGTTAAATAAATTACCTCACAATAAATTAGACAAAACCCGTTATCAAATATGGAAAGGTTAGAGTTCTTCCTATAAATATTTAAAAGTGTGGGGTGTTTGGCTAAGGTGATGGTTCTTGTTCTCAAAAGGATTAAAATAGGACCTAAGACTATTGATTGTATATTTATTGCAGTGCTTATCATTTTCTCGTACATAAATCTAATATTCCTGATATACATGTCAATACAATCATTGAGTCAAGAAATGCATCATTATTTGAAAATTTCTTTCCTAGTAAAAATGCATGTTATGGGAGTTCTTTTAAAAGAACTCATGATACTGCAACTAATAATATAGACCATGAGTCTATAAATGAAGAAAGTGAAGAGATACTTAAGCGCAGTAAGAGAAAAAGGACTTTCAAGTCCTATGGTCCAGATTTTCTAATATATTTATTAGGAAATGAGCCTCAAAACTTCAATAAAACGATGTCCACTCCTGAAGCACCTATGCGGAAAGAAGCTGTAAATAGTGAAATTGAATCCATCATGCAAAATCACATTTGGGAGTTTGTAGATCTTCTCTATGGAGTAAACCATTGGGGTGTAAATGAATTTTCAAGAGAAAAATGAAAACTTATGGGTCAATTGATAAGTACAAGGCTAGACTTGTAGCTAAAGGTTACAAACAAAAGGAATGTTCTAATTGCTTTAATACATATTCTCCTGTCACGAGAATAACATCTATTTATATACTCATAGCTATTGCAACATTGCATAATCTTAAGATACACCAAATAGATGTGAAAACAGCTTTCCTAAATGATGACTTAAATGAGAAAATTTATATGGAGCAACCCGAAGGATTCGTTTCTCCAGGACAAGAAAATAAGGTGTGTAGACTTGTTAAATCACTATTTGGTTTAAAGTCGGCATCAAAACAATGGTATGAGAAATTTGACAAGGTAATGATGTTAAATGGTTTCACAATTAATGAATGTGATAAATGTGTCTATGTCAAAGACACAAATAATTGATATGTCGTTGTTTGCCTATATATGGATGATATGCTTATTTTAGGTAGTAATAATAATATTATTACAAATACCAAAAAAAATATTGTTCAGTAAGTTTGACATGAAGGATTTGAGGGTTGCAGATGTGATATTAGGAATTAAAATTTTTAGAACATCTAGTGGACTTATATTATCTCAATCACATTATATTGAGAAAATACTTGAGAATTTAGACAAAGATGAAAGCAGCATTGCTAGAACACCAGTTGATATAAATCTTCATTTTTCTAAAAATACTGGCCAAAGCATATCATAATTGAAATACTCTTGTATCATTTGCAGTCTAATGTATGTCATGAACTGAACTAAACCGGATATAGCATACTCAGTTAGTAAATTGAGTAGATATACGAGTAATCCGGGAGTAGACCATTGGAAGGCAATTATCAAGGTTTGTAGATACCTAAGATATACCCTTAATTTTGGATTGCACCATACAAAATATCCAGTTTTACTTGAAGGATATAGTGATGCAAACTGGATATCTGATATAAATGATACAAAATTTACAAGTAGTTATGTTTTTACACTTTGTGGTGCAGTTGTATCTTGAAAATCCTCTAAGTAAACATGTTTTGTCAGATCCACAATGGAATCTAAATTTATTGCTTTAGATAAAGCATGAGAGGAAGCTGAGTGACTTCACCAATTTCTATAGGATATTCCAATATGACCTAAATCTGTGTCAGTCATTTGTATACATTGCGATAGCCAATTTGCAATTGGTAGGGCACAGAGTGACATGTATAATGGTAAGTCTAGACATATACGTCACAGACATAATATCATTTGACAATTGCTCTCAAATGAAATCATTTCTATTGATTCTATAAAATTAAAGGAAAATTTAGTGGATCCGCTTAATAAAGTTTTGACAAAAAAGCAAGTAAATTACACATCGAAGGGAATAGATCTAAAGCCTATGACATAAGAGTCACCTTAATGGCAACCCAACCTAGTTGACTGGACAGCTCAAAATCTAGGTTCAAAAGGACAACCGAATTATGCATGATTCAAAAGAAGCACTAAGGAGATAATTTCTCCTACCAATTTCTATGATAACCTATTGCTGAGTAAACTATGTTTTTAATTACTTTTATACCTTGCAAAATTTAAGTGGGATATTGCAAGATATTCCTAATAGGAGTCACTTATATGGGTGTGAAGGTGTCGTTTCTGTGAGAATTTATAAAGGCTGAATTCTCTAAAGCACTTATGAAAATCAGGAGTTGTTCAGAGCCAAAATGAACACAATCATGAGAACCAGTTGTGTTAGAAAAGAGACTGTGTGAAGTCTATTAGATCTGATTTATCAAACAGCTGAATAGTTCAAGACATCACGTTCACTATTTAGCCGGTAAGTCCAGTCGGCTTTCACTAGGAAAGGTTCGACGCCAAAAGCTACATATCTCGATGCACAATCTTTCTAAAGATGTAGTCTCTATATAATGTGTCAACATTATCATTTGCATACTAACAGATAATTTTTCATTCATGTGGGAGATTGTTGGACCAAAATATAGTTTCTCAAAACAATTACTTAAGTGTAAAAACTAAATTTTTAGTCGACTTTGAGCCTAAATTAAAGTGGGACCCGTTAGTTGTTGCGAGTAAAATTTTGTGGGTTCATATTATACTCCATGAAGAGAATAATGTAGTATATTCACTTGCTCAAATAGAGTAAGAAATGAATGAGAAAATAGGCTCTAAAGTGACCCTCTAAAAATGTGAAAATAGAAGTTGTGCAATGTAAAATTTGACACTAATCCCACATTGGTTAAGGAAGAAGTTCTACATAGGCAAATATAGGCCAAGTTTTCTATATGAGATTGGGCCCCAAGGGGTACTACAATTTTATGAGCGGAATGAGCGTCCACATGCCTTCTTTCGAAAAGTATGGTGGTTGTCTGAAAAGTCACCAGAATGTCTATAAATGTCCAGGCTCTCATTACCATTCTGTATTCATTCTTTTATCAGTTCATGTTCAAAGTTAAGCAATACAGTAGAGCATTTCATATCTGTATTAAGGCAGTCTGCATTTGGAGAGTAGACAACACAATTTCTAGTTCACTAGACAGGTAGATTGAAGTGTTACTTCTACTCGTGTCAAAATTATTGTATCTTGAGAGTCAGATGCTTAATATTCCTTAAGCATTATGTGTGGAGGCAAAAGCTGTCTTAAGAATATAGTGTCAAATACTAACATTGATCTACTTAAAATTCAATAACATTTTCTATTCTACAACCGGATCAGTATTTATATTGTTTTGACAAACAGTTACATATAATTGTTTTGTAATGACTATAGTAACTGTTTCGTTAATTCTTCAATAATTGTTTCTATATTTTGTATAACTGTTTCGCACTTACTTGATTGTTACTATTTTGTTATATATTACGTGTTTTAAATCAGAAATTTCAATAAATAATTTTATTATATTTAGAATACCACAATCAACAATAACCCTTATCCTTTTCCCAAACCCCTCTTTTTCTCACCATCCTCCGCAACTCACCCTTATAAGTATATCAATCTATGGATTCATGTGTATATATTTTTCTTAAGTAGCTTTCTTCTTCATGTTTTTATTGGATTTTTGTGGGTTGCATATTCAAGAAGAAAATTAGGACAAAGAGTACTCTCAAGCAAATAATATTAGAAGATTCAATGTCCACCTTTATTTCGGACCAATTTTTTGCACCCAATTGTTTCAGCATGCATATTTCAAAACCCCATTACTAAATTCCACAATCCCAATTATTTCTCTAGACTGTTGCGGCATCGGGTAAAAAAAAGCTGAATTCTAATGTAAGAATATAGAGCACATCATCATGTAAGAGGAGAACCAATACCTATTTGAGTAGCATCGGAGTCTGAAATATGTCTTAATACACAAACACATGATAATGAGAGATGAAAGAAGTCTTTAAACTTGTAAATAGAATATCAAATGATAAGTTTCAATTGGTGGTTGATCGATACTGAACCTTCGCTTTTCTATCAAAGTGGAACATGAAAATATGAAAGGTTAAAAGTTTTAATTGATAATTGATTGATTGAGTGCACATTGAATATTTCTAAATACATTCAACTTGGCGCAAAATTTCAGTTAAGGTAGTTCTAAAGGTTTAATCAATAATTGAAATATTTGTAAATTGTATTGATTATAGATAATATTGGATTAAGGTCAAAATTGATCAAGAAAAAATAGAAAATCAATAATTAGAGTTTAAATGAATGTAATAAAATAATATTTTCGTAAGTAAAAAAAATAAAATATTAAATTTGTATAAGTAATTAACTAAAGAAGATGAAAGAACATGAAAAGATTGTGTAATTAATTAAAAAATGTTGATCAAGAAAATTACTTGTGGCATTAGATCTGGAGAATAAACATATGGTAGTTGAAGTGTTGAAAGATAAAATAAAATATATATATATATATATATTTTACATGTATATTGATATTTTAAAATAGTATGGATAACCGCTGTACCCAATTTTTTATCATGATCAGGTGCAGCCGTTATACCAAACATTTTTTCCAGCATTACCCACACTAACACTACCCTACCAATCCGACCCATTACCGTTCCTCCAAACTCAAACAACCTCCACCACCACACTTCCACCTGTACTGATGGTAGAAACGAGTGAGATGTCAAAGAGAAGCAGGCAGGGGCATGGGCACAACAATTTAGCTTGTCTGCTCAGAAAGACAAGCCCCAAGAGCACAACTTCTGCACAAGAACACACTGAAGCAGTCGTTGAGAATGAGTCGTATGAAAAATTCAAACAGATTAGGGACGATATACGCAGAATCTAATTAACCCTTGAGCCGTATCATCATTGTTAGAAGTTCTCTGTCTGGAACCCTTTGAAATGTCCACCTATTCAAATGATTCAAAAAACCATTAAAACCTGCTCAATCACATTCCTCCAAAAGTGCAAAACTCTCAACCAGCTCAAGCAAATCCATGCCCATCTCCTCAAATTTCAACTACTCGAAAACCCAATTGCCATTGGCCCAGTTCTCAATTTTGGAGCTACCTCCGATAATCCCTCGTTCTTCTCTTACGCTCGCTCTTTGTTTCAAAGCCTCCAGTACAGAAATACTTTCATGTACAATACCATGATCAGAGGATATGTCCAAGAAAATTCACCGCTATCCGCGGTTTTATGCTATGTAGAGATGTTGAATTATGGTCTTATAGCCAATAACTATACTTTTCCGCCATTAATTAAGGCGTGTGCGATTATGTTACCTAATTTTAAGTTAACAGGTCGTTTAGTTCACGGCCATATTGTTGAATTGGGATTTTCTAATGACCCGTTTGTTGTTAGCTCGCTTATTGAGTTTTATTCTCTAGATGATGACATTGAAAGAGCACGGATGTTGTTCGATAAAATTCCTGAAAAGGATGTGGTTTTGTGGACCGCGATGATTGATGGGTATGGTAAGATGGGGCTTGTGGAAAGTGCGAGGGCTTTGTTTGATGAAATGCCTGAAAGAAATGTGATTTCTTGGAGTTCTATAATGGCAGCATATTCACGGATTAGTGATTTCAAAGAAGTGCTTGGATTGTACAGAAGCATGCAAGAAGTTGGAATAAAGCCAAATGAGTCCGTTCTTGTGAGTGTTCTTACGGCCTGTGCCCATCTTGGTGCACTAGCACAAGGTTTGTGGGTTCACTCCTATGCTAGAAGATACAATCTTGAGTCGAACCCAAGATTGGCCACTGCATTGGTGGACATGTACTCGAAATGTGGTTGTGTGGAATTGGCTTTATCGGTTTTTGAGGATATTACTAATAAGGATGCTGGAGCTTGGAATGCTATCATTTCTGGGGTTGCACTAAATGGGATCACAAGGAAGTCACTTGAACTATTTAATGAGATGGCATCAAATGGGACTCAACCCTCAGAGACGACGTTTGTTGCTGTCCTAACTGCTTGCACTCATGCAAAGTTGGTTAGAGAAGGCCTAGGATTTTTTGAACAAATGGTTACTAGATATGGGATCAAACCCAAGTTTGAACATCATGCGTGTGTGGTTGATCTTTTGGCAAGAGCTGGCAGGTTGGAGGAGGCGGAGAAGTTTATAGACGAGAAAATGGGTGGGATCAAAGAAGGGGATGCTAATGTGTGGGGATCTTTACTGGGTGCTTGCAGAATTTACGGAAATGTTGAAATTGGGAACAGGGTATGGAAAAAGCTAGCTGAGATGGGATTAGCTGATTGTGGAACTCATGTGCTGTCATATAACATCTATAAGGAAGCGGGGTGGGAAACGGAAGCAAAGAATGTTAGAAGGTTGATCACAGAGGTGGGGATGCAGAGAAAACCTGGTTGCAGTGTCATAGAGGTGAATGGTGTTGTTGAAGAGTTCCTTGCTGGTGATCTCTTGCACCCAAAGGCACAAGAACTATCCAAACTGCTTGATTCGTTAAATATACAACTGTACTGACAGACCCCATTCTTGTGTACTTTGCCCTTTCATAAGGTACATGCTTTTTTTTTACTCAAACATGTATAGAATCCACAGAAAGTATATATTATCTTCAAAAAAAAAAAAACAGAAAGTATATATGTATCTCGACAAATGATTTCCCACTGAAAAACAGGTCATTTTTCTTGGACGCGGTTTATAATAAACCTGATACCAAAAAAAAGCTTTTCATAGCGCATAGGGTGCAACTTGGGCGGTTAGACAGTCAACCTTAGCCCAACCTAGATATATAATCTTCAACTCTAATTTTAATCCTAACCCTACTTCAGGTTGAGAGACTCAACCCGAGCACTGCCCGAGTTTAAATCGGGCGGACTCGAGTTGAATTCGGACGGATTCGAGTTAAATTCGGGTTGATGGTTTGGGGTTACTTTACGGGTTTCATTTGATTGCATTCGGGTTGAGTCCAACAACTTCAATCAAGTTGTTAACATAAAAATCATAATATTAAGAACTCGATGTTTGAGATAATACAACCACAACTATACATAACACAAATAAACACAATCAAAATTCTTGAACAAATATAGAGTTTGCTGCTTAAACAAAATCTTTTCATAGAACTAGTTTAACAGAAATAAACAGAACACAAACATAAACACAACCTAAAGTCAATGTTTAACATAAACACATAATAGTAATTTAACACAAACATAGAGTTCACTGCTGCCGCTGCCCACTGTCATTGCCACCAGTCCACTGCAATATCAATTTATGCAGCTAAAAGTGAAATATTAGACTTGAACAAAATCTAAAAAAATAATTTTAGACTGAAGTTTGACATTCTATTTTAGACGATATACTTCCAAAGAAATTCTTAATGTATCGTTTGACCGTGAAAAAAAAAGATCAAAAGAGGACAACAAATTTAATGTCATAGCAGGTTGGAAAAGAGGCGTAGAAAATTGCATCTGAGAGTGAAAATAAACTCTAAAAATTAACTCTAAAAAAATTGAATCCGAGAGTGAAAAGAAGTTTCAAAATTAACTCTAAAAATGTAAAAATAAAAATGAAAATTGCATACCTGATCTAAGATTGATGAAGGGAAAGGCGAAATCTGAGTTTTTGATCTGAGATGAGATGACGAAGGAGGCTAAGAGAGGGTTGAGACTCTGCGAGAGAGAGAGGCGAAGACGAAGGAGATTGAGAGAGCGCTAAGACTCTGAAAGAGAGCGAGGCGAAGATGAAGGCGGTCGAGAGGGCTGAGACTCTGAGTGCAGGGGGAGAGGGAGATTGAGATAGATATGAGAGTGAGAGTGAAAGAGACTAAGAATGAGTGAGGGTCCTGAGGCTGAGGGAGGCGTAGACTTGAGAATTGAGATTAACCCAAAGATAAAATTGTATTTATATAATATTAATTCGAGTTGAACCCGTGAACCCGATTGCTCAACCCGAGGCCTGTCCAAATTTAATTTCGGTTAAAACATTTTGACTCAAGTCCAACCCAAGTATTAAAAATCCTAACTCAAGCCCTAATTTTTTTGGGCAGGACTCGCGTTGAAATCAGGTTAGCCTGCCTAAGTTGCACCCTTAATAGCACATACCGCTCCCGCCTAGAGCCGGGGCTAATAGAGACTTTGTTGACTTCCTCTACCATGTTGAAGACTGAATCTGATTCATTCAAAGCCTCCGAGATAAGCACCAGTCGAGGAACTGGTATGACCAGGCGGCACCAATCCAAATTGAGGTGCCGCAAGCCGCATAATTGATTGAGATATTGAAACCCCGACGACATCAAACGATCAGAAGTTCATAAACTAACCATTTAACTAAATTTCCCTGCAAACCTCTGTTTCAAATCATATTATTACATATCTGATATTTGCTACCCCAGTAGAAGCACAACTTTGGATGAAATTCCAGACTAAAGATAGTTCTAACTTTTATTTACAATTTAGAGTTCAAAAATTTCCCAAGGTTATATGATATATATGATCAAATAGCATGTTTTTCTTGATAAAAGCTTGAGAAAAATAACACTACATTCCATTCTCATGCACTAAGCAGTACATTGAGCTGCACCATCAGCCAATTGGCCTAGGAAATACCTTTGCTCATTGTTAAATGTCGATCCTACTTTATATGTTTCACTTACTACCTTGATTCCTGTAGCTTTCTTAGCTGTCTGATAACAAGCCCTCGATTATTACTTGAACTAAGGAGCCTTAACCACCATATTGATTATTCACTGAAGATGCAACCCTAGCAGCACTGTTGATTTGATGCGTCTGAGGTGTTAGATGCAGTGCTTCACATGGAAATCGTTCTCAGATAACAAACCAGTGATGAGGCTTTTGAATCTTTCAGCCCCGGGACCAGGTCTCAGTTCGGTTATATTTGCAACAGCATATCTTGGAATGGTTGTATTTGTGTCTCCTTCGTCAAACCAACCACCTGGCACAAACCCATCACCTTTGCGACCCAGGAGCTCAGAATCAATCTTGTCAAGCACTGATTTGTCCCTCCCAAATTTTCTGGCAAAAGGGGCATTGCTGTCTACCATTTTTTGGTAGTCATCTACAGTTAGGAAATGTGGATGCTGTTTGGGAGGGTTGTCCCAGGATATGAAATGAAGGTCATGGTTTACGGTGGTGTTTTGGAACTCTTCAGCATTGCATATGACTGTGTGGAAATACCCTTCAGGCGATGAAAGAAAGTTGGCATAATACATTAGGACTATCCTTGGGAGGTTGTCCCACCCCCACAAACAGAACTCCATGAAAGGCCGAGAGAGCATCATCCAAGCAGAACCTGAGGAGAGTAATAAACAGAAAATGAAATTAAATTAGTACAAGGCACAAACATCACAATTGAAATCCTTCCAAAGAAATAAACAATTTGAACTAAACGCCCAAAAGGTGGTTTATAATTCAGTCAACTTTGACCTAATGCAGACCCTCAGTCAACCCTTAATTTAGTCAAGGAATTTCTGAAAGACAGATGGCCTTACAAATGACAAGTGAATGTTCCTAATTGACAAATCCAATAGGAATTGTCCAAGGGAGTGTTTGTAACTACATTCTCCACCATCCAGGAACCGCTATATTTTAAACTAGTAAGTGCATAATTGTAGCTCCCATATCCATCGTTTAGAAGACCAGCATTCAAGATTCATCACCATAACAAGAGAGGAATGGTTAAAAAGAAATCAGGACCAGCAATCCTCTTTCATTTTGTTAAGTTGGTTTAAGTGTGGCTACGTCAGACTTTTTTTTTTTTTGTTCATTGAACAGTTTGAAGGAAATACCAATCGTAATATATGAGTGTTCCAATATGGTTCGACTCATATTAACTATTCCAGTTTTCTCTTTGAAATTTCAATAATCGCATTGCAACAAGGAGTCCCCATGCCCATCAACCAAAACGAGTAATAAAAGGTAAAGAATGTACTCTGGTATGCTTCCACAAGCGAAACAATAGCAAGACTGCCGAACTATCAAAATTAATGTAGTTTTCATTATATGAATTTTACTCGTCATGAAATCAAGAGATAGTTTAAAAATCATATTTGCTGCTCTGGCCTACTCATATAGGTGCATCAACCGGTCATTTAAATATCTTTCACATTTTGAAAAGAAGCCAGCAGGTTTATTCTTGCCAACATTTTTGTTGAAATGAAATATGTGGTTGCCTGTTCAAAATGGACAATTGGAGATGGATCGAAAGTAAACTTCGGTAAGGACGGGTGGGTAGGAGACTATCCACTGGAACAGAGAATGGATATCCCCATTAACCAAAGTGAAGATGCCAACGTCGCTGATTTCATTGAGACAGGTGGAACGTGGGACCTACAAATACCAGGTATGCATCTTCCTTCTGATATTACTCAAGAAATTCTGTTCACTCCACTACCTCAATTCAACCACCAGATGGACACTCCACACTAGGGAAAGGCAGCCAATGGTAAATTTTCCTCCAAAGCTCTTTATAATTTCCTTGTTCATGATAGTGCACCATAAATTATTGGGGGCCCCGGGGAGCAGATTTGGAAACTAGTAGTGCCACAGAAAATTAAATATTTCCTATGGCTTGTCAAACATGATAAACTCCCATCAAACACGCTGAGAGCTGAAAGGCTCACGGCTAGAGACTCCACTTGCACTAGATGTGGTGCATTTATAGAGTCAACTACTCACATTCTCAGAGATTGTAGCAGAGCATAGGGAGTTTGGTGCAAATTTCTTAGCACTCAGAAAAGAACTATAGACAGTTCCCTCAATCTCGCAGAGTGGATAGATAAGTACTATAACTTAGCCACTCCTTGCTAGAATGGGCTATCCTGGCCATAATTATTTCTCTCCATCATCTGGAACATCTAGAAAGATAGGAATGGAGAATGCCTGGGCAATCCCAAATCTGAACCCCACATAGTTGCCAAAAAGGCTATATCTTTAACTAGAGAAGCCAGAAGCATTTGGAAGATTAAAGTCAGATAGAGTAACTAAACAGTTGAGACTTATTAATTGGTGTTTTCCACCTGCACTATGGTGCAAGATTAACAAGGATGAAGCTCTAAAGGAAAACCAGGCCCAGCAGGAGTCGGAGGGATAATCAGAGATGACAGAGGAGTATGGATAAAAGGGTTCTTTGGCAGAATCTACAACACATCGAGCCTCAAAGTCGAACTATGGGAAGCATACAAAGCATTAATGATGATCCAAGATAGTGGAGGGCACTACATCTTAGAAACAGACTCCTCCGAAGTCTTCAATCCAACCAGTCAAGCATAATGCCACCCTTTCAAAGTCCTAGTGGAGAATTGCAAACACATGATCAGGACTCAGAATATCTTTTTGTCTCACACTCTCAGAGGGGAACCAATGTGCAGATCATCCGGCAAACATTGGAGTTGGCCAAATTGAGGAGATGGTGACTCTGGAGTCACCACCACCCTGTCTTTTGCCCCTGTTAAGGGCAGACATTTCTTGTACTAGTTTATTAGGGAACCCAGTTAGCTTAGGTTCCCTCCGAAGCACCAAAAAATAAAAAACGAAATATGTGGTTGCCTGTTGAAACTACACAGCAATGAGGTCATTGGGGAATGCAATGTGTTAAACAAAGTAGTTTGATAATGCTTACATGAAAGCATCTTTAAGACTGAAGGTATAGATCAGGATAAATCAACTGAGCCAATGCAAAAGAAAGCCACATTCTTAAGAATTCCGTTGATTATTTTTCTACAATATTGGACATGACTTGCCAGCACACTGTATCCAGCAATCAGAAACTCAAAAAAGACTTGAGTAAGGGGAGGTTACAGAAATTTGAAGTGCTCATTCTAATCTCACCATTAATGTCACAAATACAAATTAGTTACTTGGCTAGCTTGATTACTCATCAATTGACAAACATTGGTGGAGAGGAGATGAGTCGATGCAAATAATCTTTTGCTCAATGTAATGAAAAACTTGAGTAAGGGGAGGTTACATAAACTAACCCCGTCGATAAAAGCTACCCTTAATGGGTTGTTGTTGAGAGTTAAGGCGAAGCAGAATCCCTTCGCTCCAAACCCACAATACTGATGGATAATGAATTAGGTAACTCGATTAAGTTTCATGTTTTAATTTGCTATAAAAATTAATAGATAAGCTAACTATATTTCTCTGTACAACGTATTAGATTAGAGGAAACAATATTAGTGTATCACAAAAGAGAGAAATATTGTGAATGAACAGGACCAGAATAAGCACCCAAAGTGAAAATATTATCCTTTGAAAAGCTTATAAGCACCCAAAGTGAAAATATTAACCTGTGAAAAGCTTATATGCCGTAGGCAGGCTCCTTTTCTCTGAGACCCAAAATACATCTGATTTTCGCAGGCTGTATAGTCCTGGATCTATTATGACAGGCTTGGCTCTCTGAAACCTAGAAGATTTAGAAATGCACCTGAATAAGCAAAATTGCATCCTGGGAACATAATATGAAATGCTTTTTTCTGCTTGAAAATCTGTCAGAACATGATAATTCTTTTAATAAAAGGGGAAAAAATGAAGTACATACTCTTTCCAGCCAATGTCGCTAGTGTGCTCGATAAAATTAAGTTCCCTTGGAATAGATGATAAAGTATGAAGCATATCTGTGAACATGATATACAAGCACAACCTCATCAGGAAGTGAGACTGAAGAGTAAAAATTTAGCCCGTTTCTAATTACAGCAAAAGAGATGATAAAATGACCAAATTAAATGGAATTTTGATTATCTGGACCAACATAACATATATATAACTTCTAACTAGTAAAAAATGCAGTGGCTAATCAGCAAATCCAAGAACAGTTCAGTTAGTTTAATTACTTGTGGATTAGAATAAGCACTAGACCTATAAAAGGAACCCTCAAAATAACATATTATTTATATGAATGCAATCATCAACGAGCAAATTTGGCAATTCTTCAAATATCATTTTCCATTCTCGTCCAACGAGTGTTCCTTCCTTCGCACGATAATTCTTAATATTTGTCACGTCTTTCAGGTTTCGGCCAATATTCTAAACAATCCCTAGCAAACAAAGATACAGCCACTATAACCTACACATTTTAAAAACTATAGATTATACATTCTCTTGGAAAACACCCCCCCCCCCCCCCCCAAAAAAAAAAAAAAAATGAGAGCACAAAACTCAAATAAACACAAAGGGCAGAAAACCCAACTCATTGAAATTAGAATTAATATTCATAGAATCAAATTGATAAATCATCAAATTCATACCATCTTGGGTCACCAAAGGATAATCAGAAGCACTCAAGTTAATAAACCAATCCCACTCTCCACCTTCCTTCAACAAAATTGCAGCCGCATGGAGAGTATTACTAACCATAGTAGGCCCTCTATATGTAACCAAATTGGATCTCACAACTACCCTCACATTCGCAGCTTTCACAAACAAATTCTCATTCTTCACAAAATTCACCAAGTCCAATCTCTCCTCAGCTGACGCTTCAAGGTCCAAGTGCACTACGTAGTGGTTCAATGGATGGTACAAAGCCTTTAATGTCCTCTTTAAACTGTCACCATCCCCTCTTGACCCAGATATCAAGTAGGCTAGTCTTGGAATTCTGGAACTGGGTAATGTTGGAGCCACATGTAGCTTTGATTCCACAAAGAGAGGAACTTGTGGCTTAACGGGTGTTTGGTGAAATGGGTTTGAACTGAAAACAGAGAATATGATGAGAAAAGAAGATACCAAGAGAGAGAAAACTAAAGGAAGGAACCATTTTTTCTTCTTCGATGGCTTAATAGACTCCATTAATATTCTCCAAGATAGCTCCTTTTCCACATGGACGTGATATTGTTTGGAGACTTGAGTCTTTGAGATGTTTTTTGAGTACTGTGTGGCTGTGTGTGATTCTGGGTAGGGGGAGAGACGGTGGAAAGGTATTTTTGTGTTGGTTGTGCAGCACCGCAGGTCACGGAATCAGTAGATATCTATGTGTTCGGTATTTCAAGTGTTTAATAGGAATTTATTGTGTATGGGTAGCTAGGTGATGGCTGATGTGAATAAGGAGACTAATAAAAGACTTCTGCCAGATACAGAACCATGGGTCTATGATTGTTGTTGGACCAACCCCATTAGACCCACATCTGGGGACACATGTTATTATTAATGTTACTTTGTAATAAGGTAAGAGGGCATCCTTTTAATTATATTTTTATTTAATTTTATTTAATAATATATTAATAAAAAAATTAACAAGCTATACACGTCACATAACAGTGTCAAATAATATGCACACCTAATTAGAAATCGCCACAAAAAAAAATTCTTATATTAGCGGGCTTTCTTGTGCAATTTACAAGATTTATAACCAATTATCTTATTATTATTATTATTATTCTTCGTCTTCTTCCTCCTCCTTTTTTATTTTAATCTTTTACCCATATCACTTACGAAGTTTTTTTTTTTTTGGGAAGAAACTGTAGAATTTATATTAAGAAGATAAGTCCGAAAGAAGATATGACACAAGAAAATTATGTAGAATTTATGTATGTTATATCTTCACATACATAAATATTAGATAAATAATTATTACAAATTAATGGATGGTCAACATAATTTTTATATAAGATTAAATAAATGGTGTGTTATTAATGGGGGAAACAGATAAGTAACTATAATTAATACATGGTTAAAAATAATTAGAATAAACTTTTGATTTTTAATTTAATACATTTAAATTCTAAGAAATTAGGAAGTAGGAAGGGAAAGAATCCAAATGTCACTAATACCTAATTTGTTTGCTCTAGTATTACAAAACATTCATAGTATATGAGGAACAAAATCATTTATAATTAATAAAAAATAAATTTGAATTCATAAGAGAAAGTCTAAAATTAAGAGAGCTCGAAAGAAAGTGTGTGTCTCAATTTGAGGCACGATTATAACACTGAATGAAATATTGTACAATTAAGTATAATTTATTTGGGTCTAATATGTATGTAATGGGGTCAAATTACAATTAAAAAAGTTAAGATCGATCCGAATAATTTTAGTTTGTAGTAAATCACCAAATTAAAATATGACCTAACTTTTATTTTATAGTAGTTTTCAATACGCTATCAAACAATAACTCTTCAATAATACATTATTCCCCATTGACATGATGCTGAGCTCAGATTCCACTTTACTCTTTTCAACAAAGGCATGTTTGTGCTTTACGAATTTAAATATCGATGAACTATATTCAGGGTAAATATTATAGTTAGACGCTAAATTTTGTTTGAGGTTTTAATTTGGTCCCTACTTTTTTAATTATCTCAATTGAATTCTTTAATTATTAGTTTTATCTCAATTAAGTTATTCAGTCCATTTCACCGTTAAATCGAAATAGAAACAAATGATTTAACGTTGAAATATATTAGATTGGACTGATCTTCAATTTCTAACGGTGAAAACAGATTAAAAGACTTAATTGATATTAAAATGATAGTTAATGGATTAAATTTAGACGATTGAAAATTCAGGGACCAAATTAAAATCAGAAATAAGTTTTTGGATCAATTATGTTGTTTAACCTTATATTTAAACCCCTAAGTTATGTCTTAATAATATAATGCGCCTTTAATATTTATAAAATGACACAAAAAACTTGGATTGAATAAGCTAATTAGGAATTAAAATATTTTTTCAAAATTAAGAAGAAGGAGCAAAATTTAAGTGGCACACAAGATTATGAGGAAGTGGATCACAATTTTGTGACAGATAAATACTCAGAGAGAGGGTAGAGAAAATGAGATTGGTGTGGGTAAGACCATAGATGAATTTGGATTTATGGAAAAAGTTGATTGAGAGTCTTGCGATTTGGACATGTTTTACTTTACATTCATGTGTGTTTGACTCCTTTGCCTTTATGAAGTTCTCGTCATTTGCGAAATCTCGATAGAATTAGATATCTACAATCTTATTTTATATGCAAAAAAAAAAAAAATAGTGATTTATGATACAAAATACATGATTATAATCCCACTAACTCCACTATCTCCTCCCTCAGTTGGAGCTTCAAGGTTTAAGGGATGTTGGTTATTTTTGTATTTGCATATTCATTATCATAAACACCATTTGACAACCGAAATGATTTTTTTAAGAATTATACAAAGGGTATTTTTATTTTCTCGAAATACATTTTAAATACCAATTTTGAATCTCACACTTCTAATTATATTGGACCAAAATTATAAATACATGTTTTGATTAACAAACCACAGTATGTTATATGGTCAATTACCAATTAAAAATTTTTTAAAACTAATCACATGGGTTAAAATTAAATTACTCTTGTTATTAGTGGCCTATTTTCTAATTCCATTTTTTTTTTTCGTAATTGTTGAAGTGCGTGTGATAAGCGCGTGAGATTTCGTACTCTGGAATCTTCTGTCATTGAATGTTTGTATGATTTTGTGGTGGTGATAACACGAAGGTGCGGCGCACAGTGAAACGATGCGGACTAAAGAGTAAGAGGTGGAGGTCAGATACTCTCCACACACCAATACACTTTTAAAAAAAATAAAAAATTATTTCTTGACTAATGATTGGTCGTTAATGATTGTGGGACCATTTATGTATAATATATGATCAATTAAATTTTTTTTTAAGAAAAAAAGATATGTCAGAAGGAATCTTCAAAGCGATGAGGTTGTTCTTAACTCATAAATATTCGTTCCTATATAAGTAAATTCTAAATTATAAAATTGCTAACCTCACTAGTTTTATACCCATTTCACTGATGATTAAGTTCACTTCATTTTATATCCACTTCATTAATGATAAAACTCTTCAATCTTCATTTTTAGAGTTTTTCTCCATACTTTATCTCAAACCTTCTATATTAAAATATTAGTTATTTCTCGTATTTTAAGGCACGAAGTAATAAAAAAAATAATTAATATATTTGTATTCACATTTAAAATCAAATCACAAACATAGAGTAAAAATAAAATAATTTAAACATCAATTACAGTGAAGGTGAGCGATGTTAGTGGTGGTGGACGACAGTAGTAATGGTAGGAGACGGTGATGGTTGTGGTGGGTAAGGCGACGATCGTGGTAGTGGTAATAGCCGTGGGGCGGCAATAGTGATTGTGGTAGTGGTTTTTGAGTGACGGTGATGGTAGTGGCAGTCGTGAATGACAACAGTAGTGGGTGTGGGTAGTGCTGAACGACAGTGATGGTAGTTAACAGTAATGGTGGGGGTTGTGATGGGTGTTTCTAAGCAATAGTGTAATGGATGATGATGAATGATAACGGTGCTAAGTATTATGGGATAGGTGACAATGGATGGTTGCAATGATAGGCGATGATAGATGAAGGTGGTTGGTGGTGGTAGGTGTGGTGGGGTAGGTGACAGTGGCTGGTGGCGATGGTGGGGGACGATGGGTGGTGGTGAGATGATGATAGTAATAATAATAAATATAAAAATAAGATGACGATGGTGGGTGAGTGGTGGTCATGGATGGTAGCAATCGGTGATGGGTGGTGGTGGTGGTAGTGGGGTAGTGAGGGGAGGGAGGGCTAGGGTGAGGGTGGAGGTGGGGTAATGACGATAGTGGAGGTGGGATGGTGGTGGTAGTTGTGATGGTCATGGGGGGAGGTGGTGGGGGGCAGTAGGGGGTGAAGGTGGGACAATAACAGGTGTGGTAAGGTGCGATAGCAGTGATGATGATAGTAGGATATGGCAATGGTGGTGGTGGAGCAATGGAAGTGGTGGGATGATAGTGATAGTGGTAGTAATGATGGTGGGGTGGTGGTGATAGTGGTGAGTGGTGGTGGTAATAATGACGGTAGTGGTGTAGTAGTGGAGTGATGGGTATGGTAGGATGACGATAATAATGGTGGCGGCGACGATAGTGATGGTGGTGGGGTGGTGAGGGTGGGGGTGGGGGTGATAGGGTAGTGATGGGGGTAGTTTCAAACACTATTTTTAAAAAAGTATTTATAAAAAATAATTTCTATAAGTACTTTTAAAAAGTTATTCCAAACACTTTTTTACGGGTCTATTTTTTCTATTAAATTTGGGGTATTAATATTAGTCGTTAGATTAACTTTAAAGTAAAATTTAAAATTATCTCAACCACAAATAACAAAAGTCATTTTATTTATCTTTTAAGATTTGAATTGTATTATTATATTTTATTATATAGATACTTAACTTTATTATCTAATATAGATTTTTCAAGTGATATTCAAGTTCGTATTAGTTCAAAGTTTATTTTATTTTGTTGTACGTATTTTTTTTATTAATATCAATGATTTCTTAAGGTTTGTATATAATATATAAGATTAAGTGTGTATATATGTATATATTCTAATAGACTAACTTAACTTATGATGATACCTCAAACAAATACTAGCTGTGAGGTCGGGTCAGGAGATCAGGAAAGACATGAGGAACTCAGAGAACCAGGGGTGGAGTTTCCCTCGGGAAGATCGTAGCTGAACCGACCAGGAAACAGCTGGATGACTACGGGAATTGGGCCTCATGCGTGAAACTCTCAACCAACTAAGATTCTCTCCTAAAATTAAGGAGGATCCCATGAATAATGGGCAAAGATCTCGGCCGAAATTCCACGGAATAGGAGGCAACCTTATAAAAACTACGCAACGCCTCATCGTGAGGCAGAAAAAAAAAAGGAGAAAAATCCTAATCAGTTTAGCACTGTCTTGTATTACATTCAACTAATCAATAGGGAAAAAATGAGCAAGAACCTCCATTGAAGAGTGGACTAACCGAGCTCCTGAGCCGGTGAACCACTATATTTTCACTATGTACACCCCTTTAATCCCCTCAATATTTTATTGTAGCATCATACACGAGCCTTGTAGCTCTGATCCACGCTTATCTCACGTTACTTGCACCTTAAGCTCATCCACGTTGATTTACGCCATTAGTTTGGCGTCGTCTGTGGAAACGACTGTTCCTGTTACAAATAAGCTGATCTTTTAGTGACTGATGGTGTTAACACGAAACATGAGCAGAAGCTAA